GTTGTTTGTATTACACAGGCTATGACTCATTTTTCATTCACAACTTCGCCAACTTAGATTTGTACGTATTCGTTTTGTTCAAAAAATACACGCATAACGCCATGTTACGGCGGCATTTATAAGAATAAAAAAAAATTATAAAACAACAGATACCTGCCTAAATATAACAAAAATATATTGTTTTTAAGATTCGACGCAAAAAATTAACTTTTTACTAAGCTACTCCAAAGTTGACAAATGAAATTTAAAGTTGGTTTATTGATTGATCGGTTAATGATAAGATTTTTTGTGAAACACAAAATATTATATACGTGAATTTGGCATATCTATTTCATGGTTAATAAATGAATATATAAACATTATGCATTACACACATTTGTATATATATTTGCCAGAACTTTCACTTGATAATTTATGAAAATAATTAATTTTAGAGTACCATTAAGTAATGATTTATTTAAATGTTTGCCTAAATTAAGCGGGACAAACAGAAGAATAAAATTTTGATCATAATGACTTAATTGAAATTTGACGATTTTATTATTGTTATTGAAAATGAAAATATCGTAGAAAACATTATTTTCAGAAATTTATTAAACATTTTCAGTGAAATTTAAACATTGTCGTTTCTTCATTTACTATTATGTAACTTTGGTTTAAATAGGAAAATGAATGAGTTATTAAAAACTTATTTTCTTTAAATTATTATTGACTGCGTTGTAAGAGATAATCAATCTTATTTTCAACTGTGGTACCTACTGTCCATGCCAAACACAACATTATTACTTGCCTCAAGGCTTATTCACATTTAAACTGGTCATTTTTTTTTAAATGGAACTACCTCATTAAATCAAATTTATTTTTTTTAAACATTAAAATAGAAACCGTCAATTTAATTTTCCAAATTACTGCATTTGAGTAATTTATGTTCATGTGAAATAATAAATTGCTTGCCATAAATAAATAGTATTTTAAAAATCAGTACGGTTCCTACCTTCTATTGAAAATCGTATTAATTTTTGTACGTATCTATTTTCAAGTAAAAATGATAAATAAATAACATGAAGTTAATGTTTTCAATTAACCAGATAATACGATTATTTACTAGAACAGAAATTATAAAAATAAATTTAACTTGAGAATTGTTATCAGCAACAATGGTTATCGGTTATAAATTTTATAAAAAGTTAGGTGAATCAAGGGCGCTTTTGAGAAAGAGGCACAACCTATCCTACAAAATTCGTTGATCACCCTAAAAAAATTGCAGTAATAATTTTTATTCTATTCATTTTTAGAAAAAGATTCAATAGCTAAGAAAATTCCCTATCTACCCCAATTTAGTGAATAAACACCTATGATTCTGTTTTGTCAATTAATTTTTCCTATTTTGTACTTCAGTCGATTATACGTATGCAACTTGAAAAAAATATTTCGTAATTTCTCCTTCGAGTTGTTTTGTTATAAACTGCTTAACAATTTTGATTTGACGGTGAAAGTATGTTTGAAGGTAGGGCAAGTTTGAAGTACAGATATGCATAAATTAAATTTCAATTTTTCAAAGCGATTTTAGTCTGTTGTAAGAAAAGGTACATGTACAAGACAAGTCATAAATTACTTTTATGAGTAGATAAAGTCAGTATCCCAGCAGTAAAACGCTCTTAATTGATTTTGATTATTGTATTCAATTACAATAATAATACAACACTGACTAATAAGTAAGCATATTGAAGCCCTGTGAGAAAAGAAATGAATAATAGGCTTTAATGGTGGTGTTTTTGTACTGCTCTCATACGTAATATACTGTAGCATGCATTTCGTGACACGCTTTTTTAATGAGTACGTAAACGCTTATTGTATTTAACATTTTGTTTGCAATTATTGCACATTTCCTTAGTATATATCAGTTAGTTATAAACACTAAAATATAGCATAAGCAGGGCTATGTGTTTCATTCGTCTTAACAGAAACTAAACAAACTAATGAGTTTTTACATAGGTAGGCTTGATCCTATTAATTTTATAAATAGTTCGGACCTATTTTAAGAAACATACTAGTATGTATACATTTTCCTCAACGTGTTACAACACAAAGTGTTGTCTTGAATAGAAAGACGAACATTTTGTTAAGAAACATCGTAATTGTTAAGTTTTTTTCTTCTTATCTTGAAATTGCCGTGCCTGTCTGCGATATGTAGGAAACTATTATCAATCAAAATATAAACAGTTACTGGAGATAAAAGAACGACTCATTTTATTTATGTTCATATATAGAAAGAGTATGCTTAAGTAAGAACAAATTATTTGTAATTATCACCTAATTTTTGTTTTATTTAGGGGTTTTTGTTGATAATGTTAAAAGTTCGAAATAAAAAAGTTTCAGTATTATAACAGCACGTACTTTTGGCGGTTTTAAAAAGCGATTTTTTATTTTTCATCTAATTTTTAATAGCTATTTTTCATCTGATGTGTAACACCTCCAGCTAATCAAATTTTACATTGCTCTTTCGAGCAATTAGTTATTTAATATTTTTCGTACAAAATTAATTTCTTAAGATACAATACGCAGGTAGATACCTATTAGGTATATGTACAAAAAGCGCCACGCTTTTTTTAATACTCTCCATTAGATAAAATTATTCTTAAAACAACAACCCTTATCTATTAATATGTAACCGTACAAAACTGTAACGTATTCTTGAAACTACTTGATTATAAAAAATCGTGGTAAATAGACTAATTTGTATGTGCATTGTCGTTTTCCCATTAATTTTCGATAATTAAGATTAGAAAATTACGCGTAATTTAAAAGTGACCTTGCTTTTTAATTTTAAGTGTTTCTTTAAATTGAAAAATTTAAACGTTGTAGTATGTAAGTACTAAAGAAGAGCAATTATTTTTTTGAAAATTTTGTGAAAACAACGAAATTAAAGAAAAAGATCTGTGTCCGGTTACATCGTAGCTCGTTAATGGGTTTTGTTTTAACGAATTTGAATAAATTGTAATAAGCTGGATTTATTTGTATATATTTTATAACAAACCTTGAACTTTGTTTTTTTTACTAATTAATAACCGATATATATGCGAAGTTTAAAGCTAAATTGAAAAATTCATATCAATTCATACGTTGGTTGCCCCTTTTGAAGAATATCGTAACGTGTATAGTTTAGGACATTCCATGTAAAGAACAATAGTATGAGTCATAGGGAAAAATCGTTACACCTTACGGTGATTTCTGTTTTAAATTTCCCAATATGCACATTCGAAATAATTGATTCGGGAAATTTTTCATATTTTTTTAAAATACTAGTACCTATTATATAACCCTGTTCCACATTCGCATTTGTGATAATATTAACAAAACTATCTATTTTCCTTGCAGTCACATAACTCGCACAACAACTTGGGAGGATCCTAGAAAATCATTAGCAGCTCAGGTGGCATCTCAACAACACCAAAGTGCGGAACAACTACTTACATCTCACCAAGTTTCACCCACACAATCACAAAGTATAGTTAATTATAAGTTTGATAAATTACTGTTAATTTTTAAACTAGAGAAGTAAAAATTAAATGTCGAACTTTGCATTTAATTGTGTGGTGTTGTCTGTCTCTAATAACAATTTAAATTTATTCTTAGCAAAAACAAGTACAGAAGTTGATTTGGGGCCTTTGCCTGAAGGTTGGGAGCAAGCTCAAACTCCGGAGGGAGAAATTTATTTTATTAACCATCAAACCAGGACTACGTCGTGGTTTGACCCGAGGATACGTAAGTTGTGCTCGTTGTTTTTCAGTTTATAGAAACGAAAACTTACATATTCAGAAAACTATTTTAACTACACGTTTTTGTTAAACAAACAATGTTGATGTTAACATTATTTACGAAGGAATTAGGATTTTTTTTGACGGAGAACTGTGACTTTGTATGTTTGGAAAGAGTAAATAATAAATGATAATGCGTTATTGAATTTAGCTCAACATCTACAAAGAACTCCTGGTATAGTTCAACCGCAATGGCATGCCACTAGCTCACTGTCCCCTCAATCGTCACCAGCTAAACAACAGCAATTACGTTTACAATTATTGCAACTAGAACGAGAGCGTCTTAAACAGCGGCAACAAGAGATTAGACGTCAACAAGAATTAATGCTAAGGGGTAGCAATACAGAGCTACCTATGGATCCCTTTTTATCTAGCTTGACTGACCATTCTCGTCAAGAATCAGCTGATAGTGGTTTAGGTAATCTTTAAAAATATTCTTTTTCGTTTAGAAATTTAATATCTCAACTTTAATTAAAAGCTTGTTTTATATTCCTACATAAATAAATCCTGATTTACCTTGCTTTGCAAATTGTTATAACTGGGTGGTAAAAACTGTATGTGCTACATAATATTGTGATAACTGGAGTGTTTCTAATTGTTTTCATGTTCTTGTGATTTTAATTTAATTAACTAATTATATTAGGTATAACATAACAGTCACTCTGTATATTGTTAGGTGTTTTGTAGGAGATAAAAACATGGTAGTGTTTTTAAATATAATGTCTTTGTGCACAGTATTTCGGGTATGGAGATTTCTAATTTGATATTATTTCTAAACATTCGCGATGTAATTTGGACGAGTTGAATGAAGGGATGATATAAGGAGGCTGAAGGATGATATTTGTTTGTTTGTTCAGGTATGGGAACATCATATTCAATGCCACATACTCCGGAAGATTTTTTAGCTAATATGGATGATAACATGGAAGTTGGAAGTGAAACACATAATTTAGATACTCCAGATATTTCTTCGTTAAGTGATAACATAGATTCGACAGATTTAGTGCCTTCTCTGCAACTGGGCGAAGAATTCCCTAGCGTTATTTTGGACGATGTACAGAGTCTTATAAATCCGGCAACAACAAGGTCGGACAATGGTCTAATTTGGTTGTAATGCCAGTCAATGTGTGCCTGGTTGTTCTATTCGAATCCATTAAATTTTTCAGAGTACAGTTTACAGTATTTCGGTTCTGAATTTTCGAAAATATTGTTCATGAAAGTTAATCATTTCTTTACGTAATTGTTTTAAACCAGTGTTAGAACTCTCCACATCAGCTGAAGTACTGTTTTCTGTGAACTGTTTTTCTTAATTGGTTTTTGCAATAAATCGTTTTATATGCGCTTTCGAACGGCAATAATTAATATCTGTGTACAATTAAGACGTTACGATACCGTTAAATTTGGTTATAACAGTTTTTTATTTGATATAATATAAAATTGTTATTTTACTGTTTGGTAGATTTACAAATTTTATACATATTATGTAGTTTTCGATTATACAATTTTAGCATGTGGTAAACGTATAAGGCCTAAAGTAAATTACTAAATTTTATCACTTCAATCAACCGCCTTATGATATGATATACATATTAAAGTACAATGTCAACTTTTTATAAATACTTATTAACTCACGAATCATTTAAGTCTGAATGAAATGTGTAGGGAGTCCTAAACGAAATAGCTGCTGCCTAAAAAAAGATACACAAATACAGGATTTATTTTGTCACGTGGATCATACTAGTTCTATATTTCTTCTCATAGTTAAATTAACATTTAAATCGGCAAAACTGTATAAATTGTTTTTTTTTTCTAATTCAGACGATGTAAAATAAATTGTCAGTTTAATCCGACGTGAAGTACATGTAACAAACACCCTGTAGAAAGTAAACAACATGTATCTTATTATCTTTATAGTTGTATGTTAGAGTATTATGTTTAAATTGATAGGTAGGTATGTGTTATGGCATACTTTGACCAACAATTGTGTTTTCTATTTGTTATAATCACCCTTCCCATTTCTCTAGGAAGGGCTGACTTATAACTTTTTAAGACTTAGTTATTGACAATTCTTGTTAACATCAGTTGTTAACAGTTTTGTATCAATTGTCGATGTGCTCATATACTAAACAAATCCATCCATTTGGTGCCTTTAATGACTTATAATAATACTATTTGTAAATACTGATAATGATTATCTGCAATCTTAGATATAACAATTCTTATTATACACTCATTTATACTAACATATAGCAGTGCCTTTCACTTAAATTCATATTTGAGATATAGTAATGTTTGCCTTTAGAAGTCGTTGGTATAACACTCAAGTCAGGTTGATGAGTTTTATACGGATAAAAATTTTTATTATCTATTTTTCGTCACAATTTTTTGCAAACCATGTGATGATATTTTAAAAAGAAATGGTGTTGGTACATTATTCATTTTATATTTTTACATATCAGTTTGTTTAATGTTTTAATTAATCTTATGTTGATGTATGTAGGTATATTTAGATTTTTAAAAATCGTACTAGTACGAAAACAATGATGTTAAACAAAACGTTGCACGTTATTCGTGTTTGTAGACGAAGTCTGAAAAACACGCTGGCTGGTATGTATTCGTCTAGGTACCTTGTCAGTTTTTTTATTGAATAGTAGGTAATTGCAATAATTTTCTTGTTAAATAGGTAAACATACATATAAATATTTTATGTAATTTTAATCATTGTGCAGTATATAGATTATACAAATTAGCCAACAGAATTGTTTTCTCTACTATTAGCATTTTCTGTAAATAAAATAATTTTTCTGCATTTTGTTTATACTTTTTTCTTTTTTAAGTATTTTTAAGAATTACAAATCACTGTTATAAAGAAATACTTACAATTTCGAGGTTCGTACTTTCTTAATAATACAAACTAATTATTACGACTTATAAATATATATTTCTAATTTGAGTTATAAAGAAACACTATTTAGTTTCAAAACAAAGACGATATGAATTATTTAAAAGTTTTTTAAACTTTGTTGTATCATCGCGCCATCATGTATTTCTGTCCAAAATTAAAGTAGTACTTATACGTTCATCTATGATTCGAATTTGGAAACCATAGATAATTTATTTGTTGTTCATAAAATTTGTGGTTAAAGGTTAAACTTAACTTGGTTGGTCAATTGTTAGTGCTCTTTTTCTTCATTTATTGTTCATAAAATCAGGTTTCCTTAAAATTTAAAGTTTGTTTTAATCCGTAATTTGTCGAACTTCGATAAATATAATCGGATAAAAGAACTAATTAAGGTAGTTCTTTCAGTTGTCAAACTTCAGATGAGACAACTGATTGTACCTGCTAGTGCTATTATTTGCACAAGTGAATTCTGCTAAAAGTGGTGATGAAATTTAAGAGTTAATCTCTTAAAATAAAGCAATAATCGAAAGTTAAAAGATGAGTGTTTTATTTTCATCAGGCAATTAATGACTATTATTTCAAAGACATGTCTTCCAAAAGGTGAGTCTATATTGCTACACGTTTCTGAAAGTTTTTTTGCTATTATAACTTAAATAAGTGTAAACAAATAGGATACGATTTAATTTGTTCAGTTTTCACAAGACATTAATATCAGGTATGGGCTGATAAATTCTATTAGATTAGACACTACTAGCCAAATTTGTTATCAGTAACTCACAACTCACTTAAGATGAATTCTAGTGAACTTAAGAAGTTATCAGAAGAAAGTTTAACAAGACAACCTGAAGAAGTGTTCGACATAATTTGTAAATTAGGAGAAGGGTCATATGGAAGTGTATATAAAGCTCTTCACAAAGAATCTGGCCAAGTATTGGCCATTAAACAAGTACCTGTTGACACAGATCTTCAAGAAATAATAAAAGAAATCTCGATTATGCAGCAATGTGACAGTCCGTATGTTGTTAAATATTATGGAAGTTATTTTAAAAATACAGATCTATGGATTGTTATGGAATATTGTGGTGCAGGTTCTGTTTCTGATATTATGCGCTTAAGAAAAAAGACGTTGACTGAAGATGAAATTGCTACAATTTTGTCAGATACATTGAAGGGATTAGAATATTTACATTTGAGAAGAAAGATTCATAGAGATATCAAAGCAGGAAATATATTATTAAATTCTGAGGGACATGCCAAGTTGGCTGACTTCGGTGTTGCAGGACAGTTAACTGATACTATGGCGAAAAGGAATACAGTGATAGGTATTTAAAAAAAAAAAAAAGTAGTTACAATGTATGCAAATTTAAATGTCTTAAGGAACACCATTTTGGATGGCTCCAGAGGTTATTCAAGAGATAGGCTATGATTGTGTAGCTGATATTTGGAGCTTGGGCATAACTGCTTTAGAAATGGCAGAAGGTAAACCACCATATGGAGATATTCATCCTATGAGAGCAATATTTATGATTCCTACAAAACCTCCACCTTCCTTTAGAGAACCAGATCAATGGAGTTCAGAGTTTATAGACTTTGTTAGTGTATGTCTTGTAAAGAATCCTGAAGAACGTGCCACAGCTTCTGATTTACTTCAGCATGTATTTATAGGTAGGTTAATTAATCAGGAAAGAATTAATATTATTAAATTATGTAACTTTAAAGGTAATGCTAAGCCCTCAAGTATTCTTCAACAAATGATAGCGGAAGCACATGATATTAGAGAGAATCAGAGTTATAGAAATATAGTACACACAAATTGTGCAGGTGCCAATAAGAATGCTCAAGAAGAGTCTGTAAGAATATTGTTACTGATTGAATGTGGTTTTATAATAAACTGGACATTTATAGGATGATGATGTAGCAGTAAACAACCAAACAATGGTACAATGTGAAGATGAAGGCACCTTGGTACCAGGTAGAGGAGGAACCTTAGCACCAATGTCTCAAAGTGGAACACTGGTAGAACTGCAATCAGAATTAGGAACAATGGTAATCAATAGTGATGTAGATGAACAAACTATGAAAAGTAAGTTTTTACTGTTCTCCTTATACAAATATTACATATTTACTTCCAACAGGACATGATACAGGATCCACAGAGGGTGGGAAAAAATACAGGCCTCTGTTTTTAGATCATTTTGATAAAAAGGAAGCAGAAATTAAGGTACTTGTTTCACTTTGAAGAAGTTAAATTTACATAAATTTATTTAATTACACAGCAGGGAAATGGACTGGCAACACCAACTACACTTGATGGTCCAGATATCCATCCTGAAGACCAACATCGCTTTCAGAGTCATTTTCATTTGCAAATGAATCCAATTCAAGCACCCCCTATTGAACAACCTGATGTCAAACCTAATATTCAAAGGCCTTTCCCTGATGGAGATTTCGAATTTGTAAGTATTACAACATAAAAATGATAAATAATGAGTTTTGTTTTTTTTTTTCAGCTGAAGTTTTTAAGCTATGAAGAATTACAACAAAGAATGGCAACATTAGATGCCGAAATGGAGAGAGAAATAGACGAACTGAGGAGAAGATATCAAACAAAAAGACAACCAATCTTAGATGCCATGGACACAAAACGTAAACGACAACAAAATTTTTAAAAAATTAATATTGTCATGACAAAAAATTTTAATAGTTATGGTGCTCAAAAAAAGTTTTTCTATTGTTTTTAATTTACTTTCCTTGCCATTCTTTTATTGTGTTTTCGCTTCGTTTATTATACGTAAACAGTATTAGATTTAAGAATCTATAACATAAAAATGGAACAACAAATTAGGATCTGATACAAAATAATAATAGCAGATAAATAAAAACGCATCTAACAATTTTAAACTGCAAAAATTATTTGGTTTTGGCCAGTCAGGGAGTGACATGTGTTCCTATTTGTACTTAAAAATGTCATTACAGTTTAGTTACAATGTTTCGAAGGTAAATGCATGTTTTGCAGATAATGTTTGATATGCAATAACATTTTATTGTATTTATATTTATGTATGAAATTTGTCAAGTCATCTTTTAGTCATATTTTAATTCTCAAAATATATTTATTTAGTGTTTTGTTATTAATTGTATAAAAGTAATAATTTAATTGATTAATCGTTGTTTTCAGAGGTACCAAAAATTATTTACAGCTTAATAAATAATACTTGTAAGATCTGTATAAGTTAGTAATTCAAAAATTTCCCAAAAATTTCTTTGGAAAATCAGGGTTTCTGTAACTTTCTGTAAAGGTATTTTATTAGTCAGCAGATTGTAGTTCTATATTTCTTCTAAATTATCTAACATTATGTAATTATGTACAGTCCCTTTTAAAAAACAATTAATTAAGAACTGTAATCGGTACTGTTAAGTACACTCGCTGTGCCTTTTGTAATATAGGAAGTAGGTTAATTAGTAGTGTATTCAATATTTTTTGAAAGTCCAAATAAAAATTAGAAAATATCAATTTTGTTTTATTAAAATTACAAATTTCCATTAGTGTAGTGCATAATTTAGTAATGCTTTTATGAAGTGATTTGATAGAAAACGATTATTATTAAATATTCAAATTATTTCAACTGTAATATATAGAATTATAATATCGAAAATAGCTTAAAATTGGTTTCGTTTTTGTTTGATTATTTATTATAAGCAAATTAATAATAGATTTTAGTTCTGTGTTTATTCGTATTTTCAATAGTCGGCCATTTTTATTGCCCCACTATTACGTAGTGTCGGCCATCATTCTTTTCTATTGTTGCCGTATTGTTGTTGTCGGCCATCATTCTTTTCAATTGTTGTCGCATTGTCACTGATGTCGGCCATTATGGTTTTTTAATTTCTGGCAAAAAAGACATCTTAAAACGATGTATAGTAATCAAAGGATACTTAAAGCTCGATTTAATGATTACTTTAACTATAGCAAAAAGAGTGTATTTTGAAGTATGTATTAATATAGAGTATGCTTGAGTTCGATGTATTATTGATAATTTTGGGTAAATAAGGCCAGATTGGGATTTTTTTGCCGAATACAAGGTGCCTACTTCAATAACAAATTTAAAGAAAAATCAAGCGAATGTTTAAATCATCATCCATCATAATTATTCAGTATAAGTTAATTAAAAATAGATTTTAGTTCTACGTTTATTCGTATTGTCAATAGTCGGCCATTTTTATTGCTCTACTATAACGTAGTGTCGGCCATCATTCTTTTCTAATTGTTGCCGTATTGTTGCTATTGTCGGCCATCATTCTTTTTCAATTGTTGTCGTATTGTCACTGATGTCGGTCATTATGGTTTTTTAATTTCTGGCAAAAAATGCGTCTCCTTAAAACGATGTATAGGATTCAAAGGAAACGTAAAGCTCGATTTAATGATTACTTTAACTATGGCAAGGAGAGTATATCAATCAATGATTAAAATTTAAAGAAATTATTTGTAAATAGATATGCAACACATCGTACACATCAGCATATGAAATTTGTTGATACTGACTTTTATTTACGTAATTATTATAAGAATTGAGTAGGAAATCGGCATACATGGGTAAAATACAGAAGAAGTATTAAATACACATATAAATACTTTTTCAGAAGAAGTATTCAGTTACAACTATGCATACCTATCATCAAACAGTGGCTTCTTCAGGTGGAACAATAATAATATAACTTGTTATATTACATTAATAAAAGTTTTATTATTCTTCAATCTGAAAAAGCCACTGTGTTAGCGAAATAATTAAAAGTTTTTAAGTTTGTTTATTATGTTATTATGGAGTTACAAGAAATTAAAGCAGCTTTAATTTGATTATATTTAAATATGTATTCAAACACCTACTTAGTAAGCATGGAAATCGGCCCTTTCTCCAATTCTCAAAAACTTTATGAATTACCTTTATAGGTAAAAGTACAACTTTTATTATACAGTAACATTGTAAAAATATCTCAAACCAACCAAACTTAAGCCGTTGAAAGAAATTTGGGTTAAATTTTTTAATGATTATATAAATACTGCAGCAAAAACGATTAACCAAAGCAGACAATCCTTGCTAAATATTATATATCCAACTCAACTTTTGGAAACATGAAGCATTGCTTAAACAAGTTGCTGAAGAACTGTTAAAAGCACCTCAAAAATACTATAAACATACTCTACAGGGTGTTATTAAATTAAGTTTTATTCTCAGCAATCCACAAGTGTCCGACATTAAAACAGTTAATGTCTTATTCGAAACTTTAGTTTAAATGTATAATCGTGTATGACGCACAATATTCTAATAGATTATAGATAATATTCTTAATTTTCCTACCGCCATTGTCTACAGTATGAGCGAACTCCTATACGACTTGACGCCATTTTGTAAATATTAAAATTGAGATTAAAACAATTTTAAGCAATAAAATACTACGGTTACATATGTCAGACTTACCATTTTTTGGAACACAAGTCGAGAGGATTCGTAAGAAACTTAAAAACACTTATATCACACTATTTAAATCAAAATACTCTACACACAAATTCGGCTCTTATACGTTATGCACGGGTAACAGGTACAACACTAAAGATGCCGGAAGTCACAACACACAGCTTCATAGAATTGTCTCTTTATTGGTCAATTTTTAAAAGTTTTAGGACCTATAGATAAAAAGTAGCGATCTGATACGTTTATCAGTTGGTTCAATTAATCATAGAGGAGCATATGCATGGTGTTTGAAAAACATTAATATGAGTACAAATTCAATTAAAAAAATAACTTTATCGCTCATTAATTATCAAACACCTTACAATTATATATACTCAAAATAATTGCAGTCTAAAATACGTAAACTATACAAAATCTATTTTCGGCTATTTTTTGAAGATATCATAATGCTTCTTACGGTTTTAAATCATTTGTGGTAATTCTATATGCAAATAATTGAAATAACATCAGTTGTCATGTACAGGACGTTAATAAAATTTATCATAATGCTAATTAATTTAGATTGCACAGATTATTTAAGTTATGTTAATAAATAATCTAAATGATTTGTAATATACCTACCTAGTTTTAAAGGGATGGAATTTGAAAAATAAAGTAGAAGGATATTATGTACTGGGAATTTTATTAATCAACAAAAAACTGCATAAACTATAAATATCGTTCCTAAAAAATATTATTGCTTTATAAAAGTAAACAGGTAAACACATAAAATTCACGGCAAAAATACACAAGAATCCATACGAAATTTAAATTGTAGACATTCTGTAAATATAGCCGTAATACATAAACTACAGGTGTAGGTGAATGTATACAAGACAGGGCCATGTGGTCTGGTAAACTTAAAATAGATTTAATATATACAATTTGAGGAAATATCTACAAATTAAATGACTTCAAGGGTACACTTCCAGGTTGTAAAGAATATTAACATCCCGTTAAAGAGTTTGTTCTTGTTTCAGTTCCAAAGCCCACACGTGCTGAGGCCAACCTGTCCTCCCTTTGGCCCTACGACTACCGCAATCCTCCTGTTTATAAAAATTAACCCTCTCTTAAACGCATTCAGTAGTCAATATCTCTCTACTAATCTCTAATGTTTGCTTCTTCTAATAGTTCCAAATTAAAGTTTTAAATATAGGGTAACCACTTAACAGATCCATCAGGGACTATCCCCGCAAATTGTATCAACATACTCTTTTAAATTCCTTTATCAAACAACACTTTTAAAACACTTACGGTCGGAAAAGACAACACGAACGAAGCATTTTTAAAACAAGAAATTTTCTTTAATTTGAAATTTCTCTAACTCGAACATTGATTTTTTATTTATTTTACACATTTAACAATTTCTAACGATATTTCGCAAAACTAGGAAATTAAAAAATATTTAAACATTGGAAATTAACTATGATCCAACTCTTTTTTAATTTTAAAATCAAAGAGGACAAGGTCCAAATAAATATTTTTCCAGATTTTATACAAATTTGTCTTCCGTTATTGATTGTAAAGTACATCAGCAGGTACAGAATTGAGACATTTTCTACAAACTTTTGATTTTTATTATGCCTCTACGTTTCCTTTCTTGATTTTTTTACGTAATTAAGTAATTATCGAATAATTCATTGCGATGTATCTCAGTGCAATTCACTTTGATATCAAATTATGAAGGGTGAATGAAGGGGTGGTAATTACATTATTCGGCTCAATTATGGTACATTAAGGGTGCAGACCTTTCTGATAACTGTCACACAGAAATAATTGAAAAGGAATAGTCTCCACCTCTAATCGAATTAATTGGATAATGGTACGATTGACTTCTACGGCTGAAAAATTTTATCAGAGCGGGTGGAAGAAAAGTACAGTAGCGGTTTCGTTATTAGATACCGGATATGGTGCTTACGGAAGCCTTTTTGGCAGTGTTTATGAAAATAAAAAGATTTTGTGTTTGAAAGGTACGATAAGGATTTAATATAGAACAAAATCTAATACGACATACAATCCCTCGGTAAGTAAAGAGTATTCAGAATTTTGTTAAGAAAAAAAAGTAAACTGATTTAAATTGACTTACTGGTATGTGACTGCTTTCTGGGGAAGGTTGGCTATTGGAACAGTCTTTTATCGATGAAGATCCCGAAGATCTTCTTCCGGAATTTCCCAATTCAGCTTTGAATCCCCCAGCAGGATCGTCCGTCTCCAGAACTCCAGTTAAATATGATATATATGAAGTGGCTAGCCTTAATGTCTTAATCTGATTAAACAGGAGAGAAAAATATAATCCAAAAATCAATAATTGCAACTATGGAAATTAAAACTTACTTTCGACAGTTTTGTGTCTGCTGGTACATTGGGGATACAATCGCGAAGGGCCGCGTACGAATTGTTAATAGATTGTGTTCTTCGCCTTTCTTTTTTATTAGCGGTACTTCGTCTTTTTACAACCCTAACAAACGGAGGCGCCAAATGCACCCCCGAATCCGCTTCAGAATGAATTGGTCCTAAACTGTACCCTATAAACGTGCATATTGTAAAAAGGGATCCAAATAAAATTTCGAAATATTTGTTTAATTGGTAATAGTAATAAATAATAGACAAACGCGGGCGGTACTTGACATTAGTATCAGTTTACTTGAGTTAATATTTTTCGAGATAAACGATAAATGATACTTTAATAATAGATAGATGTAATAAAGCATGTCGCATAAAAAAACTACCTGATCTATACTGGGAATGTTTTCCTTCATCAGGAGAGAACGATAAAGTGGCATACATTTGATACGGACTTCCACCAGAAGCTTGACTTTTTATTCCTGAAGAAGGAGAATCAGATCTTGGACTTGAAGACCAGAAATTTGATTCCTCACTATGACATAATACGCTCGTTTCTAAAAAACACCCCCATCATCATTTCTATACTACATTTTAATTTGTTTACTCAAATATAATAAACTAATTTTGTATTAATTCAAGTTTAACTCTTTCTACAGATATACCATCAAAATAAACATCTCTAACAATTCAGTGGTCATTATTAATAATTAATTCTATTCGCCGAAATAAATTCCTTAAACTAGCAGTTTGCTACAGTTATTTTAATTTTTTTCTTAACGGATTTGTAAACAGTCTATTTTATTGTCATATTAAAAGTTCAATCGAGTAAAATGCGAGTTTACAGTGTTTATAATATTAATCGAGTTCATACGGTAGTCGATTCTTAGGTTCATTATACATTTTTAGTTTATTTTAAAAGTCTCCGTTTATTTATCTTGTGCACTGATGAAAAGTTCATTCTTCCTCAAATAAGTAGGTTTCTTAAAAACCTGCAACATGCTTTTATTTGATGACTCCTTTTGTACCGCAGGCCATCGCAATAGCACGCATTGTGTTTTAGGGAAACATTTGTTAAACAAATGCATTCAGTTTTTATTGCATAGTTCGATATTTAAAAAGGGAAGCCGTAAAAAATCAGAATAATAAACGTATGATCATGCCAACATATGTGCTTCAAATATTAATTTTTGTTGTTTTAGAGAAAGTTAATAAAAATATGATTANAGCTTGTATTAAATTATTAGCTTGCTTTACAGTGACAACTGTAATTAAATCAAAATAATATGAATATATACAATATTACACTCAGTTAAATACCATTTCCTCCGATTACTTGCAAATTGGGATATGTCTTTTTAATATACTTTATCATTTCAATCTGAAATATAGAATTTCCCTGTGATGAATCCTACAAAGAAGTAAATGTAGCTTACTTTACATATTATATCAATTTACAGTATCCGTACAATAATGATGACATCCACGCCAGCTTGAGCTAATAAAGCCAATCTTAGTTTATCATCTTCACGGGTGCCTATTGCAGCTCCAACAAGCAATTGTTTATTTTCATCTTTGGACGCAGTAGGATAACTGCGAGATTTCTTTAAATCTGTCCTTGCTATAAGAGCTATTAGGTTTCCCTGTGCATTAACAATAGGCAATTTGCCTTTTTTACTTTTTTCCAAAATTGATTAATAAGTTAACATTTGCTTACTTAACTATTACTTGACTTTAACTAAAATTTTTAATATAATGTGAATGCCGAATGCAATCATTTAAACCCGTCCGCTTTATAGCAATTGTTTAGTTCCACCTAGAAGACGTCAAAATTTTAATTAAATGAAAACATCCTGAATTATTTCGAAAGTAAGCTTAACGCACAATTTGATCTTTTTATTAATAAATTCATAAAAAATAACTACAAAAAGTTAAGTAGATAAGTATATACACTTAACATTTACTTACTTAACTCTTATATGCCTTTAAGTAAAACTGTTAAAGTTAGATGTACTTCAGGGTGAATGTCGAATATAAACATTCAAACCCGTATGCTTTATAGCAATTGTTTAGTTACACCTTAAATACCTCAAAATTATCGCATTTTCATTAAAAATTTTGATTGTATGAAAACATCCTGGTTATAAGCATCACACGTAGGATTAAGGGGCAATTCGATCTTTCAATAAAACGTTGTAGTAGACAATTAGTTCTAGAATATTGTATTATGAGAGGAGATAGTCACCGATTACGTTTAGGTACAAGGCAAAAGTGCCTTTTTAGCCACTCGCTGTAAAGCACAATTTTCGTCCTCCTCGTAGATATCTGATTGTGGGTGATAAAAAATCAAACAATCTAGTACGCTAGAATATTATTTATACGGACTTTCCCGTTTCATTATTAGTGATTTTAATCAAGTAACTTTGTTATAAGTCCATTTTAAGAACAAAGCTGTACATTTTATAATCCTTATAGGAAATAACATTAAATTACCTGAAGACGTTATTGTTTGTTTTATATCAGAACAAATTTTTTCGTTGACAAATCTAATTAGATAAAAGATAGTTGGTACCTGTTATGTAGGGATTCCCATAAACATTTTGTGAATTGCCATATGCGTACTGATATACATCCTGAACGTTGTTAGGAGATCCAGCAAACGCCATAATATTCGCAAAACCACTGGAAAACTTTCGTTTTTCGCGGACAGATTCGAGAATATCGTTTTCGAAAATGAATTTAACACTTGTAAACTTTTGGATCGCTTAAAGTATACTGAATTTTTTGGAATTACTGTTTCGGAGAGACGGTTGTGTGGGTGGAGCGTTCGTCTAAGCTCTCCAAAGCCATTGCTTGAAAAGCACATTTAGGTGGATCTTATTTTAGTCCACCCCCTCATAATGAAAATCAATTGTCTCTGATACGACGATATTTTAGAGCGAGACACTAATTACTAATGAGATCGGTCGTTTCGACTAAATACTGACTCACTATAGTGTTGTAATAGCTTAGAAACTGCTATTTTACGCTCTTTTTATTCCTATGTTATTGTTATTCGTTTTCGAAATTGAGGCAATTAGATCGTAATTAATTACCGTTTTCAAACTAAAATTTTCAAAGAAAATGGAAGGATTCAAAAATTACGTACTCATGCTAATTAAATGTTAAATTTCTTTTTAAAAACTCTACTGTCTATTTTTCTGTCAGGCACAAACCTTTTACGTAAATCAGTTTTGAACCAATTCCTATTTCTCACCCTCTTAATTGTTTTTTTAAAACTTAAATAAAAAATGGATTTAAAGGTTTTTGTGTCAACACTTATCAAATTAAATGAATTAGAAACGTAGCCATTATGTAAGGACTTATTGCAGCAAATAATATGTTTTATTAACTGTTATATTTCCGACCTGTGCTAGCTTCGCCGGGGGTGGTACAGCCGTAGGATAGATAACAGTTTTTGTAGTGGATTTTGAGACGGTTCTTCATAAAACATATTTTGATACCTGATAAATTTAAATTAAATAAAAACGCATTAAAAAGTGTACCTACAATTGTTTCGGACGATTATCCTTTTTCAGGACTACGAATAAAAAAAGGAAAAATTGACTATACTTCGTACATATAGATACTACAAACATTAATGATTAACATACCAAATTGAAAAACATAAAAAAACAAATTTATTTAGTGTTTTACACACATATTTGACTTGAATAAATTTTTTTCGATTTCAGAAAAATTATCCTTATATTATCCTTGACCTTTATTATCATTGCGGAAGGGGTATTTTCGCATTTGATTTTGGCATTTCAACACTATTCTAGAGGTTATTGATTACAGAAAAAACTCTGATATTTGACCAGGATACGCAAAGGCAATTTTGTTTTTTCAAATTATCATATAGAATATATCACTTCCTCCAAATTATTTAAACATTTCTTTTCGTGTGTACATTAATTTTTCGTCCTTATTTGTAGTATGCTATCAACACAAATATTGAATTATTTTTGAAAAACCAATCTGTTATTAACCCTCTTAGTAAAATCCACTGAACATTTCAGGATAATAATAAATGGTTATCATTCATAAGGAGAAAAACTTAACTTTCGAACTGATCATGTTTTTATCATCATTATTTATCAAAATAAATATATATATATATATATATATATACTATATTTATAGAGTATAGAGTACTAATGTACCCTTAGTCATTGGCGGATTTGCCCTAAGGCCCAGTAGGCCCGGGCCTAGGGCGGCCAGATATTAAGGGCGNAAATAAAAAATAATTAAATACTTACACTTTTTCTCGTCCTCATGTATTATTGACAAATGAGACCACACAATAGAATTACGTAAAGAATTGAATGATTTAACTTTCTCGATCTTCTTCAGAACGGTGCATTATTAGGGATGTTTAAAAGAAAATAGGAAGAAATTAATTATCCATGTTATTAGCAAAACATAAGATAAGAAATAACAGCTGATAAACATTCTAGACCAGATATTGATGTTACTTTTTGCAGTGGTTGAATAGAATTTGGACAGACTGCCCTGGCGCCAGTGACACACATGGCCTAAGATTCTCACAAGGCAGTCGAAAGAGCTTAGATAAGAAGCCACAGTTATTATACAGCATCGCTTTTACTAAATCTTATCGTCTTAATTTAGTACAAGCAATTCCCGCTACTTATTACCAGTCTTTCTAATGGATTATTTTCATAACAAGTGCATGTCCTCACAAGACTCTCTCACACATTTACTTCAAGTCCCGATGCGTCGAAACATTTCAATACAAAAAAATGAACTACTTTTTAAAATGTCTTGTAACACCCTGCCGCAATTACCCAGTCGAACTGAAAAGTTCAGTCAACAATTTAATAATTAAGGCATATAATACATCAGGTGTCTAGGCACTTTCGGCATAATAATAATAATAAAATATTAGCTATTAGGGTCAATAAAATAAGACACCTTTTCAAGGGATTATCTGCTTATCCAATATAGATTCGTAAAAAACTTTTGGACTCTAGCACAGAAGTAGCTGTTAGCCTTTTTACGCAGTGGTTCGTAACATCGTGATAGGTTTTCAGTTCTATACAACTCAATATACCCTAAATTCCGTAAAAAGGGATAGGAAAACTTGTCCTAAGACTTTCAGTCGTCCTTTTAACTAATAAAGTAATATACCTATGCCTAAGTCCAATAAAGAGTATTAGGGTCAATAAAATGAGTTTTTTAAAGGTATTATCTGCTACCACTTCCATTTGTTTATCCAGAAACTCAAAATTTGGATTTTAGATAAATCCAATATAGATTCGTAAAAAATTTTCGAACTCTACCAGAAACGTAGCCATCAGTCGTTTTCCGCAGGGGACGAGGGTGGATTTCCGTACAACTCAAAACACCCCAGCAAGTTCCGCAAAAAAGGATAGGAAAACTTGTCCTAAGTTGCATCATTACATAAAAACGCCGAATAGTTGGCGTACTTATTTAGGGCATATGGGCCAGAACTTTCAATGTATGAGCCTTGACTCACCCGGGCCCATCGGTAACTACGTCCCTGGACCAGAGGTTGTACAAACCCCCCATTGAGCCAACAGAAAGGAAATTCAATCCTGTTATAGAATAAGTTTGTTTGTTACACTAGAAATACAAACTGTTTTACTCTCTCGCCCTGTTTTTTGGGATTCAATAAAGTTATTGAAATAAATATAACTAAATGAGAACTTTTTTGTATCTCTAGTGAACTTAGGTACAATTTTAAAGGTGTGCATAAGTACCGATTGTAGAAAACTGGGAAAACCAAATTATAATCCCTAAAAATTTGATACTTTATATGCAAGTTCGTAAAAAGAGAACCGGGAGCTTAACGTTTTATTTTGTCTTGTATTTCGTTACTCATCCCTACAGAAAGATAAAAGATACTCTCTATTTCGTTTCTTTCAAAAGACGACACGTGAAGGCAATATTTTAACAAATTTGAAATTAAATGGTATTTCCTAAAAGTAAGCAACATATCAATCAACTTTTGAACGTATGGTGTTGTAAGTTGTCACTTTAAATAACGCCACTTTGTCTTTTACAAAAGTTGGCGCCTTCATTTAACATCTGAAGTCCACCTTATATATTAGACAATGACCTCTTGTCTACTACTTGTAATATGAAGAAACATTATTTGAAATTGATACCACCAAGCTTTAACAGACACAAATAGCACCGATGGTGACTCCCAACTGCCACAGTTTTGACGAGTGTAATTTGATAAAATTCTTCTTTCTTTTTTTTTGTTAAACTTTAGTAGCTTCTTAATTTACCACTTCAAACATTAACTATTGAAACCGTATAAANATATTAATACTAATATTATTTAGATGTAACGCTTGTAAGTTCTTTTTTCTCCTAATCAATCGTAATGCCCTTTTATTGACAGTTTGTTGATAATATTTAAAAGAATTAAATTCCGATTTATGTTAAAAATAACAAACAGATGTGGCATTATAAAAGTAGCTTCTACAAGACATAATCATCTAAATTAAATTATATCTAGATAAACTGCGAACAAAATGATGAAAATGCTGTAGATCCATATACTGCGGAGGTACTTCTAAAGATTATTCAGTAAATTGCAGACATCTGGTTTTCGTCTTTGTATTGAACATGACGGGCTCGGATAAGGTTGCGAGAGAGAAAATGCTTTTCCATTTACTAAACACCAAGAATAATTTTCTTTAAGTCACACTCAAACAACTTTCCAAGTGTGGCAAAAAACTTTTTACCTAATTGATTTTAATATTTAGAAATCCATACTCGAGGGGTCCTTCATAAATTACGTAAGGTTACCAGGGGGTTCCCATTTAAATCCTATGGATTCTTAGTTACGCGTTTCTGTGACGCGCTATTGTTTAATTATTAATCTTTTTTCTTACGATTTTTTTGTAGAAAGTAGGAAATATCCCTTACGTTAACTAATTAACCAATCAATTGCATACTACGCACAGTATAATTTAGAACTAAATGTAATAAATAAAACTAACTTAATTGTTTTCAATAATTATAATGTACCCTACTTTAGTAAATTAATAAATTACCAGCTTTTTGTAGAAAAGAATACTAGTCTGAAAATAAAGTTTTTCTTTTTTAAATTCTCTGTATTGATTAATTTTAGGTTACAAGACTATAGCAATAAATAAGATAATGAACTAGCACAAAAAATTTACGTGTTTTTATCGTCCACTACGTATCTTCTTTCAACATCATATTTAAGGTCGTTTGAAAGTCAGAAATAGTATTAGCCCAACTTACAGTATTATAATCCTACAAGAAATTGTTTGCTCAATTATGACTTTCAGAACAAGAAATGAAGCAAAAAAGAATATGAGAAATCAACCAGTTAACTTTTAGTCACTTTTAAAACATTTAGTTATTCGGTTAAATTTTAACTTGGAAGAAGTTATAATAAATAGCACATTGGCATAACTTTACATAAATTTTCTTTTTTTTTACAGATGGCTCGCCGAAATTTCTGTTATTTATGCCTTTATATTACAATAAGCAGAGAACCTACCAGTAGTTTTGGTACATATTAAATTTTAACTTTAAGTAATACTGGTTCTATGCAGAAAGCAAATAATATACTGTTCGCATTATAAAATACAATAACGAGTTGGAACCTATTTCGTAGTGAAATCTAAAAAGACTAAGTTGCTTTGGAAGTTAAGTATCATAAAGTAATTTTGAATGAAATATATCTTCCTTTTAGCAATTGCGCCAAGATATTTCAAATTTAAATAGAGCGCCATTGGATTCGAGGAAAGCAAAATATTTACAGTAATTGTAGAACTTTGTATGTGTCATGTAGAGCACTGCTGCATTTTAAGTTGCATACCTTATCCTTATATTGAATATAGGCGGTAAATTAAAATTTGTAATTCAAAAATTACAAAATCAAAAAATTGAAATATTACATGCCAAATGTTTAATTTAATTTAATTTCGTGTCATTGCCCATAAAACAGCATCTATGAACAATTTTTTTAAGTAAAATTATTACCTGATTACTTTCTATTTGCTAGTTTATATCCTTTTTTTTTAATAAACTTTTTACTTTTCAAATTTGCTATTTTACAGAGCACAATAATTTATGAAGCTTCGTTTTCTTCTTCTTTATTGTTATTATGGTATATTGATAAATAAGAAGACGCAGTTAATTATTAAGTACCATTTTTTATTTTAGATTCAATATTTTCATTTTGTACCATATTACACCTAAGTGTTTATGATAAATCATATAGAGTAAATATCTTACAATATACAAAAAATACGATTCAATTTAGTTAATAATTTACAATTACAATACTTTGTAAATCAAAGTTGCACAATATAGACACTTTCGATAATAATTATTTAATAAATCTGGTTTGTCTTCTTTAAGTTATTCCTTATACTTTCTACTTTTGCTGGAATAAGGAATGTGTCTCAGAAAAGCCTCTTTTCATAAGAAAAAAGACCATGAACATTTCCTTCAATTTGAGCAGAATGAGATCTTCTTTCAAATCTCAGCTCACCACTATACATCATATTCCTATAACATAAAAAATATGTACGTTAATGCTTTTATCTTTTCTAAAAATTAAATAAAAAAATACTTCAGTTCAGCGACAGACTTTGCTCCAATATCTTGACATCCATGTTTCAATCCACACTGAAGATAAGGTACAAATCTTAACACAGAACCTTTGTCAACTATTGATCCACTGACACCTTGGGCTACCTTCATTTTATCCATTTCGCTAATAATTGAAAAATAAGTAAAATATTTACTGGATTTTTGTTTATTTTACTTATGAAAATATCTGTCCATTGCAGAACCCTGTGCATCTTCTCTGCTCATAGCTTCTAAACTTCCCATCCCTCTGTACTTTTTTAATCTAACACCATCAGCAAAAAAATATTCACCAGGTGCTTCAGAAGTTCCAGCCAGTAATGACCCCATCATAACTAAAATTATTCTCTATCATATTATTCTGTAATTTATAATAAAACAGTATTAATTTACCAGTTGATGCCCCCAGTGATAGAGCTTTTACAACATGTCCTATAGATTGTATTCCACCATCAGCAATTACTGGAATATGAAATTTTCTTGCATAATTTGCGACTTTGTACACAGCAGTAGCTTGTGGTCTTCCAACAGCCATTACTTCTTGTGTTATGCAAATGCTACCACTCCCCATTCCAACTCTAAGGGCATCCACACCAGCTTGTATTAAATTATTAGCTTGCTTTACAGTGACAACTGTAATTAAATCAAAATAATATGAATATATACAATATTACACTCAGTTAAATACCATTTCCTCCGATTACTTGCAAATTGGGATATGTCTTTTTAATATACTTTATCATTTCAATCTGAAATATAGAATTTCCCTGTGATGAATCCTACAAAGAAGTAAATGTAGCTTACTTTACATATTATATCAATTTACAGTATCCGTACAATAATGATGACATCCACGCCAGCTTGAGCTAATAAAGCCAATCTTAGTTTATCATCTTCACGGGTGCCTATTGCAGCTCCAACAAGCAATTGTTTATTTTCATCTTTGGACGCAGTAGGATAACTGCGAGATTTCTTTAAATCTGTCCTTGCTATAAGAGCTATTAGGTTTCCCTGTGCATTAACAATAGGCAATTTGCCTTTTTTACTTTTTTCCAAAATTGTATTAGCTTCTGAAAGTGTAACACCAGCCTGGGCTGTTACAAGATCTTCCAATTTTGTCATAATCTAAAAAACATGAAATACATGCATTACATTTAATTCTATTATTTTATTAATTAAATGAAGCTTACAGTTTCTAATTTTACATCATGATTGTTCTTTTGTTCCAAAAAATCAATATCTCGAGATGTTACAATTCCAACCAACCTTCCTCCAAGCTTTCCATTTTCAGTAACTGGAATTCCACAAAAACCACGTTCTTTTTTGACTTCAAAGACATCTGCAACCTGTTACATATATATACTTTTTTTATTGTATTTCACGTACATATTGATTTTTAATACCAATCCAAGTTCTACTTACTGTATTATGTGGTGCTAATACTACAGGATCATGAATAAACCCATGTTTATAACGTTTAACTTTAAGAACTTCATTGGCTTGATATTCAGGTGAACAGTTGTGGTGTATAATGCCTATACCACCACATAACTAAAATCACTCAGCTATTAATGACATATTGAATTAAATATATTATAATAAACCTACAGCCATTGCAATTGCCATTTCTGCTTCTGTAACAGTATCCATTGGGGAAGAAACAAAGGGAGCTTTTAAAACAATTCTTTTTGTCAAGTATGAGGATAAATCCTTTAAAATACATAAGAATACTTCATATTTAATGGTATTAACTATTCCACTTCTAATTAACTTACCACTTCATCTGCAGAGAAGTAAATGTAGCCCGGCAGTAGAATAAAGTCACTGCAAACCAAGAAATTAATGAATTTATACTAAATACACTGAAAAATAAACTTACTTGTATGTTAAACCATTAGCAGAGGAAATTAATTCATCAGCAGTCAAGCCATCATCATCAGTGTATGTTTCATTAAACGAATTACAATTTTCTTTCATTATGCAGTTAGTAGCCATTTGAATAGAATACTCTAGCGTTATGGCGTTTTAACAAACGTTCTATTAAAACAATTCTTGAGGTTTCCTATTAATGGGATTTGAAAACACGTGTAACACTACGTGGAGGTTACCTTTTACGTTTTAACAAATCAATATTTATTTATTACGTTTACTGTCTTAAAAAAACAATACGTATTGTAGGGTTAAATGCTAACGTAATACGGTAAAATTATTGTCAACACTTTAAATATTCAGATCAAAACAACAAGTTCTTAAACACATGCGTTCTAGAATTATAAACAACGATTTTTAAAAACCCTTGTACCTAACCTAGAACTTTTTTTCTAAACAAAAACCATAGACAGAATCTGACAGAATCAAGCAGGACAGATTACTGTAGAATAATACAGGCTTTAGCAATTTAAATTTTGCCGCTAAGAGTTAAAAATTTAAATTAACTTTTTTACGTATTACAGCAATTGAAGTGCTTCTTTCTTAGAATATTACATTTTATTCAATAGCGCTAGTGTTTTCGCAAATTATATTACTTATAAATATANACTTATAAATATATGAACTTTAATAATGTACAAAAAATATAGTGAAAATACAAAGGGATGGAAAGGAATTAGAAAAAACTTCGTTAAAAACAGAAACTGATATATATATTTCAGTCATTTTTATCATATATACTTGCAAGGATTCAACAGCTGTTTGAATGGTAAAAAAACAAACAGCAACTAAATATATGTTATATAATCTAATAACCTAATATTATTATTTATTTGCAATCAGGTAAAATGAATCAGGTCCTAAACTGGTTACACAAAAATAGTCAGAATAGGAGAGCAAGATCCGACTTTTAAATACAGTGCATGTTACTTTTCTTACAAGTTTAAATAAAAACAAAAGGGGTCAAATCATATCGCGAACACAATCAGTATCTAATTCTTGAATAAGACAACGCATGAAAGTCATTTCTTTTCGAGCGTTATCAAAAATAGTGTGGGGATCGCTGGCTGTACATCTAAGACAGTTAGGTGCAAAGACCATCGCTAAATTTGATGCGTCCATTTTGGTATGTTGAACCACATCAGGTTTATTGAACATTTGTAAAAAACGAATGAGGTAGCAGAGAACGAGACGGTGTAACGTTGGTAAACGTAGAACCAAGTCGCAGGCTCTTCTGCCGGTCATTGGTTCTGCTACACATTCTGGATAAAGAGAATCTGGTATAAGGGGTTCATACAATTCTCTTAGCCATAACTTCAATAAATTAGCTGGCACATGAGCGTCGCTTGGTTCACTAAAATTCCATTTATCCATTTGGGCTTTTAATCTCGAGACTTCGTCAACGTCAGCGGATACTCTGAATATTCCTTCAGTGTTCAATCCATGAAGGCGCAAAACTTGTTGCGACAATTCTACTTGCGGCCAGGGCAAACGCCTATTTGGCCAGCGACTCGCCTGTAATTGCATTACTTCTCTTAAAGTGTTACCAAAAAGACTAGCTTGAAATATTTGACTTCTGGCAGACTCTACGTCATCCATTTGAGGACGACGTGCAGATCTTTTACCTCCCACTCCTATTCGCTCCAACCTTTGACACGCTACCGTTGCATAGTGGCTTACCTGTTAAAATTTTTCTGAATCAGTTACATTCTTAAAATATCACAAAAACCCTTTAATAAAGCAATTTCAATTTTAAAGTAAATTGCAAATGCATATGCAAGTTCATGTACACATGTTCCAATTTGTTTAAAATTGCACATTTTGTTTTTAAATATATTTTACATTTGGTATACGTTGTCGTAAATAATTGTAAAATAATTTATTTTACTGACCTGAACGTGAATAGGCCAACGTGAGACGTCCGGAAAACACCTAGCAAATGTAGGATCTCTATGTCTATTTAGGTAACCAAGTAATGCAGGCTGGAAAGTTGAACTGGGAGGTATAAAGGCCAAAGTGATAGTTAACAATTCCCATCCCCTTACTAACGATTCTCTTCGAGGATTTTCAGTTGTTTGTTTACACAACTGTACAAATAGTTCATCTCTTAAGACCGGTTGTGCATGAGCCAAATTAATAATTTCTACTAACAAAGAATTAAGAGATGTTCCAGGTCTTGCTTTACGGTCTCCCATATACATTTGGACTTGCCTAAACATATCCAAAGCTTGCTTGGCTAAGGGTTTACTAGAAGCTAGAAGCGGACGTGTTAAACCGCGAGAAGTCCAACTTAGAAGTTCCCTTACACTGGTTTTTCTTCTAAATAAACCTCTACCACCTAAGTTTAAGTTATCAGCTGCAAACTTTTCCATATCAGCTTCTCTTTCTGGTTGCAAGGGAGGCTCTGGGGCTGGTTTTAATGGAGGCACAGAAGTTTGTTGGCGAGGAGGTTCAGTAACAGCAGTAGGCAGATTAAGATATTCTACCGGTACAGGACGTAAACGGTGAGGTAAATAATTCCCTTCTGATTGATCTGAGTCTTCATTATCCGGCTCATGACCAGTGAGTGATTCACTTCCACTATCTGATCTATCACTTTCAGAATCTCTACTGTTGTTGAGTAAAAAGTGTTCCAAAGGTAACAAGTGTGAATCATGCCAGTTTGAATATAAAGGAGCATCTCCACCACGTTGACTGAAGCTACTGCTCCTACACAGATCACTGGACTTTCTCCTTAACTGTGGTGTACTTGCTGATAGACTTAGTGATTGATTTCTTCCAGGTTGGTCACATGTTTGTGTTCCTTGATGATTGGTTGTTGTTGGTGCTGTTCTGCAATCTGTATTGTGCTTTAATAATTGCAACTTAGCTAATGGTATAATATCACAATTAGTTGGTTTGTGCCAAACTGTTCTTTGGGATGTGGCATTGTAATAATAAAAACGTGCTGTATTGGAATCAAATAGTTCCCACCACTGATTAGATGTTGTTCTTTTAACTGGAACACCTTCTGGAGGATCCCAAACACATTCTCCTGTTGTTAGATTTGCATACATATGTTCTTTTGTTTTTGGTTCTATTATTTCCACCCATTCTACCCTGCAATGATAAGATAAAGATATGTGTTAATATACCGTTATTACTATTTATTTGACAACAAAAACTATACTAAAATTGGTACTGGGCAGCTGCCCCAATTATTACTTTTTGAACACAGTTACAACCTACAAAGGGTTCATGAATTCAATCATACTATCAAAAATTTGTACACAAATAGTACATTAGAAGCAATTATAAAATTAATATAGTAATTATTGATCTAGAATAGGATTACCTGTAGGTGTTGGATGCCATTTCTTAACATTCTAATAAGTAGAATAGCCTATAATGGTTTGCTTTGGAAATTGTCACGTTGAAGTTAACGACTGCAATACCATGTTTTCTTTCATAATGGAAGACATTCGAAATAGCATATGAAAATAAGTTACATACTTTTATTAAAACGTAAATTAATAATATACACCATCATTGAACTCATCATTTAACGCCAACAATACTACATATTTTCGTTTATGTTATGGGCTACACGCTATCCATCTATAAACTGCTATAAACTTTGCAACCTACTGTTTCTATATTTTACCACAAGATGGCTCAGCATGTATCTTAATTACGAAAATAATTTGGCGCTTAATCATAATTTAAACTTTTACTCAACTATTTAGTATATCAGTGCTTTTTAATAATTTATATTAATTTTCAAGAATAAAGTAAAGTACAACGCTTCCAATTCCAATTCCAACTTATTATTATATTTTCCATTCGAAGGTGGAACAACTGTAGTACTGTACAATTTTTTTTATTTAATATTCTATTAACTACCAAATGATTTGATAGCTTATTCAACTTTCTTTTTTATATGGATTAATTATTTTCGTATGTATTTTCAGAAATAAAAAAGGCATTCAATACTAAGTTAATTTTTATTATCTACAAAAATTGTCAATATACAATCTTCATAAATACGAGAAAAACAAATAATAAATACAGTTCATTTTGCAGAAATTTATAAAAAATGTTCAGGCAATAGCACACAAAAAAAATAAATAAATAAGTAATACAGTTTATGAAGCTAATAACGTTTCTTAATTGAAAATTAAAATCTGCCTAGAAAAATACTTCTAAAATGAACCTTTGGTGTTCTATGTAATAAAAAATTCGTGTCGTTCGTTCTGTAAATTTTAGTGTTAGGTAAATTGCACAGCCAGTTTTGGAGAACACATTTTTCACATTCTACCACGCAGATGCTTCTCGCCTGAAAATATCAGATTCTCGACTTAAAAGGTAACGAAATATAATTGAATAAAAACCAGCACCAGAAGAATTTTCTACAAAATACCCATTACGAAAGCAATGAAGTGTAGTTAGTTGGAAATAAGAAATGTTCAAGTACAGTAGAGTAGTATAGCATATTAGTGAAGAGTTTGCAATGAAAACATTTAAAAATATATTTACACAAAGTATGAACTATATTCGTGTGGCATGACACCTCTCCTAGGATAAAATGTATGATTTACTGAGTAATTGAGTAAATTTGTGATATTTGACGTATAAATATCAGCAAATCTAAACAATCTACGTGAGAAATATGTGGGATTGTGGTAAGTTCGGAATACGCTGCCAAACTGTTCATTGAAAACATATTTAATGTAATTCCTAGAAAAAAAAAGGTAAATTATAATTTTATTTNACATTAGAAGCAATTATAAAATTAATATAGTAATTATTGATCTAGAATAGGATTACCTGTAGGTGTTGGATGCCATTTCTTAACATTCTAATAAGTAGAATAGCCTATAATGGTTTGCTTTGGAAATTGTCACGTTGAAGTTAACGACTGCAATACCATGTTTTCTTTCATAATGGAAGACATTCGAAATAGCATATGAAAATAAGTTACATACTTTTATTAAAACGTAAATTAATAATATACACCATCATTGAACTCATCATTTAACGCCAACAATACTACATATTTTCGTTTATGTTATGGGCTACACGCTATCCATCTATAAACTGCTATAAACTTTGCAACCTACTGTTTCTATATTTTACCACAAGATGGCTCAGCATGTATCTTAATTACGAAAATAATTTGGCGCTTAATCATAATTTAAACTTTTACTCATCCTAAACTGGTTACACAAAAATAGTCAGAATAGGAGAGCAAGATCCGACTTTTAAATACAGTGCATGTTACTTTTCTTACAAGTTTAAATAAAAACAAAAGGGGTCAAATCATATCGCGAACACAATCAGTATCTAATTCTTGAATAAGACAACGCATGAAAGTCATTTCTTTTCGAGCGTTATCAAAAATAGTGTGGGGATCGCTGGCTGTACATCTAAGACAGTTAGGTGCAAAGACCATCGCTAAATTTGATGCGTCCATTTTGGTATGTTGAACCACATCAGGTTTATTGAACATTTGTAAAAAACGAATGAGGTAGCAGAGAACGAGACGGTGTAACGTTGGTAAACGTAGAACCAAGTCGCAGGCTCTTCTGCNTAGAGATTTACTTTAACATCACGGAAAAGAATCTCTGGGTGATAATCAATGTGCTTTTTCTCAAAATAATCTGCAATATTACAAAGTAGACACATTTCAGGAACAGAAAATAAGTCAGCCAATTGAACCATTTGTGATGTAGGTTCCTAAAATATTAATATTTTATAGAAGGCTTCTAGAATAATAATTTGGTACTCTATCTAACATGGGTGTTTCTAATGTTGGCCTCAACATAATCAATAGGTATGATACGATTTCTGTAAAGCTGTAATACTTCTTCATCAGTTAATGGTTTTAATCCTCTGTATACAGAACCAAATTGAATTTGAAGGAATGAATCCAGTTTGAGTAACACTCCTTTCTCAATATCATAATGTAAACCTCTAATGGCAAAGCCTGGTTTATATTCTAAATTAGCTATCTCCTTAGGATACTGAAAGAATAAAAAATTAACATGCAAACTATACTTAAAAAGCCTAAGAATGTATCTTTGAGGTTATGTAAAAATACGTTGCTAAGTAATAGCATGTCAATTTAGCTTTTAGCGATATTAAAATAAATTAAATCTGTAGAGAGCAATTGCTTCTATATGTAAGTAATTATTTACCTTATACTGTTCTATTAACGTTTGTCTAGCTAAATTATATAAGAGGTAATCCAAAGAAGGTTTGTAACATGCCAAGGTGTAATCATAATCAAATCCATAAACATTGACTTCTTTTAAATCTAATTCGTTACAAGCAAATACTGCTTTTACATTTACATCTTTCGGCAATTTTTTAGCTAAAATGTAATTCAAATAATCATATAACTAGCATGAGAATCCATCATAAGCATGGAAGAAATATTTCACTCTATACTTACAGTCACATGTTCGTTTCGCTCTTTTGTAGGCCTCGTGAAGTTTATTTGCAGAATGAAAACGGGAATATTTTTGGATTTTTAAAAATTTTTCGAAAGGATTAACCCATAATAGCAATTTAGACAACGTTCGTTGGCTGAGATGCTTACATGGCAACATAACTGCAGCTTATGTACAATAGATCTATATTGTTCTCCTTTTTCTGATATCTAGTAGGATACAGATGGAGCAAATCATTCATTGGGTGAAATCAAACTTACGATTAGCCAAAATTTTAATTATCTATTTGAATTTTTTTGGTTTGATTTTATTTTTTTTCTAATTTATATATATGCTTACGTAAATTAGTACCCCATGACAAAAGGATTTTGTAATCTATCGATGCATTACAATATAAGTAATAATTATAGGCGTGTTCAATATTCTTTTAAATTACTTTTTTGGTGTAGGATTTTAGTCTAATTGAATGTGAATAAAGATACAAAATACAAGGGATTAAAAAACAGTTGTACACTTGTTTAATGAATGCACTTTTATTATTTATTTTTTTTATGTTTACCTATGCGCTTATTTTATTTTATAGACAACTAGGTACATTAATCTTGTGCCAATTACTTTCTACCATTTATGTGTGTCTTTGACCTAAAACAAATGGCACCACACATCTAATACAATCTTCTCGAAAATTTCTTTTTATTGTCGTTTGTATTCTAGGTATAATGTTATTGTATGGGTTTACATTTGCTATTGTGTGAAGGCATCAAATTCGTTAACACACAAATTCTAATTGCAATTGTATAGCTATTTGGTTAAAATTAGAAACTTTTTTGGGATAATTGCTTGTACGAGTGTTTTTTTATTTTACAATATTATGTTAAATTAACTTAAAGCGCTCCCTGTGTACATATGTACATTATTTATTATAAAAACTTAATAAATTTCTCACTTATTTCGTTTGATAGTTTTATTTCTAAAAATAATTTTTATTTATGTATTCTTGGCAAAATCTGTTATGTTATGGGTAGTTATGTATGCCAAGAAATTGTTTGGATTAATTTATCTGTGTAGTAAATGGGATTTGTACATAGTACCTATGCTATTTAATCTTAAACTGTCAAGATTTAAGTTAATTTTGTTTCTTATCTCTAAGTATTTATTATTTCCTGGATTATAAAACAGATAAATATAACGATTAAACTACCTATGTACCTATGTAGCTATGTACCTATGTGCATTACTAGTATGCAAAGTGTATCGGCTTTTACTAGATATCACTAAAATATTAAAATTCCGAGAATTTCTAATCTCCAAGTTAACCAGCTGCTTTCCAAAAAAAAAACAAATTAAGATAGAAAATATTTTTTTTTCGCAACTCGTACTGTACCGATTGTGATAAAAAACGAATGTATGAACTTATTATACGCAGTAGAAGTTATATATCTACTTTTGTGTATATTTATTTAGCCAGTACAATAATAATTGCGTACAATTTCCGTCGCATGAGACGTAACTTCCGTTGCACGCTGCGTGCGCAACGCGAACTAAAATTTTACTCCCATTCAACGTCAAAAAGAAGCAGATATAACTGTGTTTTTGATTCTACAAAAAGTTTCCCTTAAATTACTTTATATTTTCAAAATTTTTTCTTCTAGTACCTATTTATTGTAAAAATATGAATGAGATATGTTTCGGTTCTTTTAATTTTTTGATTATTCGGTTTGGATAAAGCGGAGTGTTTTTATTTTTGAATTAAACATCAGTGCCGAAAATTATGCGCATTTATTTTTGTGCGATCGTGTGTATGTGTAGAATTAAATGAGTAAATACACGTCTGGTTTCCGAGGTAGCTTCGAAGCATGTTACAATTGGCAGCCGGCGATTGTGATTATTATCTGCTAGTTACGGCTTTAAACCACAATCAAGCAGAGAAATTCAGGTCAACAACAAGCACCGGATCTCCTGCTTTATGTACCGTCCTTGACATTGTTGATGCACAAACCTCTTTGGAAGCGGACGTCGAGTTAAGTGAATTAAATTTCTCTAGCACAGCTATAATAACCGCAAAAACGAAAGTGCCAACAGCCCACGCTTCTTATCGGTCAAAATACAATGACGAAAGTAAAACAAACTGATAAATCGGTTACGCCCCCATAAGACAGCTTGAATTTTTAATGTAAGTTGTCCGTGTACGAAAAACCACTCCACCGCATACTGGTCATTTATCATGAACTCTTTTTCTTTTTAATGGGATCTTTAGGCGCGCCTAGAGGGTAATAAAGCGAATCGAGCATGGCAAGACACCCCGCATGGCAAGACACGCTCAACGCTTCAAACAGAAGCGGAATTTCGATGTTTCACATCTGCTAGGCGTCCAATGAGAGCTCTTTTTTTAAAATGCTATGCTTTTTCTGAAAAGGGGCACTATGCATACAGTCTATTGAAAATAGAAGCCGGAATCTGCTGTTAACCAAACAAATTATCCTTCTTGCTCTAATTGATATAAAGGTTCTCATTAGTGGTATATGTATAGTAAGTAGTATTGGTGTAGTCAGTCAATAAGTTGTTTTGGTTTTTCGCGCTCTGCATACGTTTAATGAAGGTACATATGTAGACAAGAACTACCGTAGAAAGTATCTTTTCTAGCTGGATTAACTGTTTAAAATTAAATGGTTGAAGTCTTCCATTAATTAATGAACCAATTACGAATAGAAATAAAACGCATTTTTTTCAGTAGTGCTGTTCAAAACTTTAAGACTTTGCTCGTTTCTAAACTGTCGTTTTTTATACATGGCATATTAAAAGTGGACCCCCGATTGCACGCATTTCCTATTTGTTAAAATTTAAATTTCACTCAAATGATGCATTTCGATAGCCATCTGTTTGAGCCGAAAATATAATTAATATCGAATTGGGTTACATGTTTAAAGCATTGTTAGCTTCTAAATGTTAGTTAAATTAATCACATTTGCAATATGGGATTTATATACATACATGGATAACTTCATTATAAACAAAAGAGTTAGATTGTTGAACAGATGGTTAGTTAAAAAAAAATTTAGAATTACTTACGAATACGAAATATCATGTGCTTTGATACTTAACATCAGGCGGCACTATTTGCATCAGCACCTTAACGTATTTGTGTTTTGAGAATGTTTTGGAGATAAATATATAAATGATATAATTAAATGTGTGCGACTAAATAAGTAACATGCAAGCAAATGAACAGTGTGGATGATATATAAATTGGCTAAGGTAGAATTTTAGACAAAGAAGACATTTGTTTAATTTGTTAACGGAATTGCAATTGGCACGATACGTAGCTTTCGTAGCGGTGTAGACCAAGTTATAATTGGGTCATGCTCTGAAAGACACGCTACATCCATTCACTTTCATTCACTAAAACCTGTAGATTAACATCTTCAACTAGAGGAACGATTAGCTATTTTCTCTTCCTTTTTCCTTTATCCTGCGAATTCCGTAAGGGTGAAAGTCTTTTTTGTATCTTTCTTGGTATTGATTTAATTTTCGTAAAACAACATTTTTAAGGGTATTTTAGTTTAGAGCTACTAAGAACACAATAACACGTTCTTACGGTGAAAGCCAGTTCTTCACTGTATTAAATACTGCTCAAAAAACCCTAATGATTTTCACACCGAAAGGAGAATTGTCATTGGAATTAAGATAAAAATGTTGCAATGCATTCCTTAAGAAGTAGCAAAGTAACTACGTTTGTATAAAACAGAAAAAGCGCTCGTAAATTTTCGAAATTAAAACGAATAAATTTTAGACATATTTTTGCATAAAATTACTGGAAAAAGTGTGAAGAATTTTATAGTGAATGCAGATTTGCAATCGTAATTAAAATTAGAAGATTACAGCGTAGTCTATTAAAAGGCGTCATTCCTTTGATTTATGCAGTAAACAGAAAACGCGCTCGTATATATTCGATACTAAATCCAACTAATTTTTGCTACATTTTACGATAAATCTACTAGAAAACGATGGAGAATTTTGTTTTAAAAGCAATTTTGTTATTAAAATTAAGATAAGAAAGTTACAAAGCTTTTAATAAGAAGGGGTAGGGTAAGTTTACGTTCATATGGAACAGAAAAAGCGCTCGTAAATTTTTGATATTAAAACGAATAAATTTTAGACATATTTTTGGATGAAATTACTCGAAAAAGTGTGAAAAATTTCATAGTAAATGCAGATTTGCAATCGGAATCAAAATAAGAAGATTACAGCGTAGTCTTTTAAAAGGCGTCATTTCTTTGGTTTATGCAGTAAACAGAAAACGCGCTCGTAAATTTTCGATATTAAAACGAATAAATTTTAGACATATTTTTGGATGATATTACTCAAAAAAGTGTGAAGAATTTCATAGTAAATGCAGATTTGTAATCGGAATTAAAATTAGAAGATTACAGCGTAGTATATTAAAAGTTGTACATCTCTCTATTTATTAATACAACAGTAAAAATCGCTCGTAAATTTTCGATATCAAAACGAATAAATTCTGGGCACATTTTTTAATAAAACTGCTGAATAAGGAATAAATAATTTCATAGTGAAAGNAATTATTTATTCCTTATTACAGCGTAGTATATTAAAAGTTGTACATCTCTCTATTTATTAATACAACAGTAAAAATCGCTCGTAAATTTTCGATATCAAAACGAATAAATTCTGGGCACATTTTTTAATAAAACTGCTGAATAAGGAATAAATAATTTCATAGTGAAAGTAGACTTTTCATGGGAATCAAAATAAAACGGTCACAAAACGAAATATACTTTAGAACCACAATCATAAAAAATCCAATACAGTTGTCAGTTGTGAATTATCGTGGAAGAAGTAATATTTAAATAAACAATAATTAAATTGTTTGTTTTATTCTATTAATTTATGTTTATTATACTATAGTTTCAATATGTATCAGTTATAACCGTCAAATATTTGAAAGAGAAAATGGATTGCTTACAAGGGTTTCCCAGATTATGTATTTTAGATCCGTGTTCAGTAATAAACGGTAAGGGGGAGAGAGGGAGGAGAAATTACACCAAACTGTGTAATCGTTGTACACCTTAGTAACCAGAACGTCTGTTTTTGTCAACAGCAACTCAAGTCCAATAAAAAAATTGGTCTACTGACGCAAACTGCTTTCACCTGGTGAACCCGGATGTGTGAAAGTGGTTACCAATTTCGTGAGGGTCTTAACACAAAGGTTGGTATGTCCTAACGAATCCTTTTAATGCAACCATAGTTGTGCTTCAGTGATGAATCATACACCAGACTACGTGATATAATACGTTGAAAAAAGGAGTTGTCAATAAATATAAAATAACTTTACATTGTTGTTGCATAAACAATACATTAATGTAATTAATATATTAGTTTTAAATTGAAATATGCAGAGAAACGTGTAGTTAAAATCAACTTTTTATAATAACATTTAAATAAAATAGTCATAATTCGTTCTCTTTTTTATGTACGAATATGTTTGAGACAGAAAGCTGTCCCAAATTTTCAAAACTAAACTACTATTTCTAGAGGTATCTTAGGGCAAAACAACACAAAAAAACACGTAGTGAATGCAAATTGTTGGTTTTAATTACAGAGACAGTGCATTCGATTATAAAACAATAAATCGTTTGTAATAATACAAAATTAAAATGAATGCTGTCTTGTTACGGTTATTACGCGAATTCGACTGATTCGAATGATATATAGCAGATTAAGATGAATTCTAAGCGTTTTACTTATTGTTCTTTTATTTTTATGAGATGAGTCCCTTGATGTAAAATTTAATCAGGATAACTTCCTTAATTGTTTCTGGTTAAAGAAACTAAAGTAAGTTTGTAAATGTTTTGCTTAAAACCTTACAGTTATCTAACTGATTTTTGAAGTTAGTAAGTTTAGTATTATCGGCTAATACGAAGTCTGAATGAGCTTTGTCAATTACGTAGATTGCCGAAAAATTGCGTTTGTTACAAAGAAAGGGAGCGTGATATTAAAATTTGTGAATCATGAGATTATAAGGGGTCAATGCGTTACTTTCTCTGTGACACAATGGCTCTAGTTGAACAATCCAAAATGTCGCGAAACAGCGTCATTTCGGAATTCCGTCAACTTGTTGAGAAAGTGAGTTGTTTATTGGTGAAGTCCGCGGATAGGATTCCGGATTTGTTTAAAGTGCTTCCGAAAGCTTCGGTTGGAGCTGGTGTTCCACTAGCATGCGTTGTACTGAAGAGGGGGCCAACTTTCACGCTGATATAAAACCAACTGAACATTTTAAAGTATGTTACTTTTAAAGATATTGACGGAGTTTCGTTTCGGACATTGTAACAGCGTGTAGTGAGGGTTATTATTTTTTTTTTTGTATGGCATGAAGAGGTGCTATTACTTATCAGTGCAATTTTTGTGACTTTTACTCTAGTGAGAACGCGAGGAGTTGATAATCTAAGGATAACTAGTGCTAGTGATAATAAGTAGTAAGTATCACCGGTGAGTGCTTCTTATCAGTGGCTTGCTTGCTAACAGACAACGGAAGTGAATCGCAAAAGTCGAACGAGTACTTTTCAACCCTTAAGTGAAATATATTATCTAAATCTTCTGCAGCAACTGGAATAAAAATGCATGAAGGTCCTTTGACATCAAAAATTTTCATGAATTATCATTTATTGGGCCATGAAAATTTTTATTGGAATAATTCCAATAAACGGTGCGTTTGTTTTCAAACAAAAAGTTAGAATCGCATTTTTCTTCTACTACGGATTACTCTTTGTTAAGTTTTCGTAAATATAACTAAACGTAGGTATATTCCATTTCCACATTACACACTGTCGTGTTAATTTTTTAACAAATTTACAGTTGCTCTACTGCTTAAAAAAGTACTAAACAAATGAAACTTGAAAACAAGCCCCAACGGTTTCCGAATCCGTTAAGTTTTTTTTTGTCTCCATTTTTAACATTTTTTTTTAATGTTATAGAAGAAATACAACTCACCATATACAATTTGTACGTATATAAGATTCCAGAATTACTTAAACAAATAATTAAAACAAACTACATTGCATTTAAGTGTTAACTTTATTGACTCTACAGTTGCTTTGATCTATTGGACCTTTTACAAGAACTCTTGGGGTACCTCAAATTTTCACTTTAATGAAGCATTATTGACTCTAGAATCGATCTGACCTATTGAGCCTTTTTCAAGAGCATCCTAGAGTACCTAAGATGTTTCGACCTTTATTGAGCCTCTTCCAAGAGCACCTTACAGTGCAGTACCTAAAATGCTCTTATAAAAGGCTCAATACGCCGGAACAATTGTATAGTCAATACTGAATTAAAATGAACATTTAAATCTATTTATTTTATACGAATGTTCGCAAACTAAACAATTAGAAATAGAAGTTTCGTATTTATGGTAAAATTAAATTGTAATTTGGTCAAAGATACTGTTTACGATATGTTTTTGGGCCTCATTATTACTGTATGATGGCAAACTTTTGACCAAGAAGAGACATCCGTCAAGAGTTGACTAATTAAGATAATGGTTATACATATGCGGAGGTATTTGGCAGACAGTACCATGCTTACCTTACAATCTGTGTGGAGGTACTACATCTCTTTTGAGCACACAGTAAAGGAAAGCAAGGCAGTATGTCAACAACCGCTTGGCGCATGCACAACTTTCTCGCGTCCATGCATAAGATGACAGGTCAATTAGATAGAAACTGATCTCAATTTTATCTTTAACGTAAATCAATGATCAATTTTTTCATCACCAAAATGAAGTAAATTTTCCATCATATTTTTCTTCGTCATGTAGAAGTTCTCAGAGGGATGTTCTGTAACAAAAATGGTACCAAATGTATTACTGACAATGCTCTTAAACAAGTCTCTCCCTACTGGGCCATGACAAATGGATAAACAGACGAATACGTACGAAAATAAAGAAACTACCCCTATATGTTTCTTTTTTTATTAGATCGAATTTAACGTAACTTCAAACATTCGAAAACATTACAGAAAATCAATAATGTTAATATTTCAATTTAAACGACAACGAAAACATTAAAAAAATAAATATTAATTATGTAAAACAGTTTCTGTTATTGTTTATATAATATGCATAAAATAGTATAAAACTAACGTCGAGAAAATGCGAAGCTGACTTTTATATTTTAATTAATATACAACCTCATTAGATTCAGACAGATTAAAATTTTTAAGTATACATAATAAAATTAATACTCTTGTAATTTACTCTATTTTGTGAGAAAATTCCATGCGTACAACCCGTTCAGCTTTCTACAGAAACACAATACCGGCAAGAGTGGCAGTTTGAAACCAACGATGAGAACAATAAGACAATTATTTGGTTTCGTTTTCTTTTCTTTTTTTCTTCGCACCGATGACTTCGAATAGAGAGAAGATAAAGTCGAAGGGTTGTTCGCTATCAACCGACGCACTCAAACGAAAGTGGTCATATCTCGTATGATACTATCTCCAGATATATCATGTTAAAAAGAGAAAGGTTCAAAACGAATTCAATTATTATAGACCAACCGGAAACCGATTCGTTCTAGAGCGTTTAAAAAGCTCATGCAAGACAAGAATCGATCCTAATACACGTATATATCCACACGCTTATTTAGTTAGCCTCTATGTTCTGCACGCGTAACCAATTGTGTCTATTTTTTATTTTAAAACAAAAAAAAAACCTACATTTGATTGGTTGGAATTCGATCGGAAAGAAAAAGAAATAACTATGAAATAAACGACTTCAAACTTTTGTAATTTCCGGTCATTTTTTAAGAGCAACCATTGTATATATACCAATGTATTTATATACTTGTTGTATACGTGTGTGTCGCGTCTGCCAATTGCACAAACACAAGATTAACTCGAAGAACTCGTGCCACTTTCCAATAAAATGTCGTACAACAAACATACGTCGCCTACCCTGAAGCATCTGCTGCATTTCTCCTTTCCATCTAAAAAAACTACGTTTAGATAGATTAAATGCCGCAACAGATGGAATTAATAATAAAAATATATTAACTTACAAAACAAATTATATTAACGTACAACGAGCATTGAATTATCGGGTTAGGCGCTTGACGCAACGTTGTAGTCTCCGGTACTCGGCGAGCTTTTCGCTTATTTTGAAGCACTCCGATTCATTTATTTCAATTTAATGTCGCTAATGTATTGTTTACAGTTGCATCTATTTGTATACGGACCCGTTTATCGATTTTGTAAACGCAAATGCCAAATTAAACGGTTTAAACAACACGTATATTATTAACTCTTCTTTTAAACTACAGTCAAACTGTTTTGGCATGTTATACGATAAAAGAGAAATTATTGGGGCATTTTTATATATTTCATAACGTAGTATTATGTTGTTAATAATATTATATAATGTTTTTAATTGAAAATTTATTTTGGCATATTGAAAATTGTAAAAAAAAAGTACATATGTTAAAAACAATGTATGACTTCCGTATGTGATTATCTAATGAGGTCAGTTTAAAACAACAAAACAGTATACAGTGCTGAAGACTACGTAAAATGCAACTACTGAACCGTGTCCGGCACATATCTATATGGAATATTAAAGAAATAAACATGCCGCAAATATCATAAATAGATAAGACTTAAGATAGACGAACCAGAGAAAGTTCTGTTAGTTTCAAAAATGTAGGTAATTTGATTCGTAGTAATTCGGATTAATTATTCTACTTTCTAATCTCATTTTTGTTTTATATCCTACCCAGCTCGTGCTTTCTTCATAAAATTCCATATGTCAATTGCACGGTAATTCCCAGAAAAAGAAAGTGCTTCGGTTACTTCGTTACGTTTAGATTTTTTGCACTTTGCGCTAAAACTAAAGTGAATAATCGAAGTGAACGATACAGATGTTATTTAGTAAATGTATCACACACGAATATTTGTTTGCAAAGCAATGCGTTCTAGTTAAGGGAAATTTGTCCGGATTCCGGATGCCTTTGACACTGCGTACCATCGCGTAAAAAGTTTCATGCATAGATTCATCTTTCCATGTGAATATGTTAGCAAGCAAGCTTCTTACTAGTGTGTCAGTAGGTCAGGCACAGAATTGCCGTCAGGTGTCCGCAGCAAGAGTAGCTTGCCGCGCCTTTTACACCTGTCTCTTTACTTGCCATATTCTCATTGCTTTCATTTCAGAACTTACTGATAATAACAACCACTCACCACCAAGCTTCATCATGATCAAGACTTCTATTCAACGACCAATCGCCTCTTTGGTCTTTTTCGCAGTTATTGTTATCAATGTAAGTCAAAAGTGTTCGCGCTTTTAACTACAACTTTTTTTTTTTCATTTTTCGATATTTACAAATTTACCGACATAATACATTCGTTCAGTATCTAAGTTAGAGAAAGTGACATTATTTCGGATGGTTACATAGAGTGAATAAACACAATGTGCGGGTACCTTCGTTTATTATTTACACTTGTTACAAAACACCACATGACAGTCGGAATTGAATTACGAGTTAATTTCGAAATGTTAACTATTATACTACATACTATGTAAAAAGTTACATAATTTCTTCTTCAGGGAATTGTCTGCGAAACACCCCTTACCGATTCAGCGTCCCTACCGTTGGAACATCGTGGAGTGTATGGACCACCGCTTTCCGGGCCTGGTTACGCACCTCCAAATCTTCTTCAAAACGTCGGGGGTGGCGATGGTGGTCCTGACGACCCTTGGCCCTTGGCTAACCGAGATATGCCTCAAATTAAACATCTCCAAGTTCAATGCGAAAAGACTCACATGAGAGTCAACATCGAATTCGATAGACCATTCTATGGAATGATATTTTCTAAAGGATTCTACAGTGATTCCCATTGTGTTCATCTGAAACCTGGAACCGGACATCTCAGTGCTACCTTCGAAATATTCCTGAATAGTTGTGGCATGTCATCTTCAGCAAATCACAACGCCGCAAGTTATGGTGGGCCGACTCCTAGTGGAAGTTATGTGGAAAATACGATTATAATACAGTACGACCCTTATGTTCAAGAAGTTTGGGATCAAGCCCGAAAATTGAGGTGCACCTGGTACGACTATTATGAGAAAGCAGTTACTTTCCGACCCTTCCAAGTAGACATGCTGCACGCTGTTACAGCTAATTTCTTAGGAGATAATCTTCAATGCTGGATGCAAATACAAGTAGGGAAAGGGCCGTGGGCATCCGAAGTATCGGGAATTGTGAAAATCGGTCAAACCATGACCATGGTTTTAGCTATCAAAGATGACGAAAATAAATTCGACATGTTGGTTCGCAATTGTGTTGCTCATGATGGTAAACGAGCACCCATCCAACTGGTTGACCAATACGGTTGTGTCGTAAGACCAAAGATCATGAGCAAATTCCAGAAAATTAAAAACTTCGGACCATCAGCTTCTGTAGTGTCGTTCGCATATTTCCAAGCCTTCAAATTCCCCGATTCCATGAATGTTCACTTCCAGTGTGTTATCCAAGTGTGTCGTTACAATTGTCCTGAACCAAAATGTGCAGGCCACGGTCTCGGATTATTAGGAGACTATGGAGCTCCTGCACTAGGAAACGCTTTAGGAGCAGGCGATTTCGGGGGTCACGGAGACTATGGACCGCCACAACTTCCAGAATACGGCGTTCCACCAGCATATCCTGACCCTCGTCATCCTTCTGGACCTGCTGGAGCATATTCTGAAACCAAGGAGAACATCGTTCCAGCACCGCAAGCTCAAACTGCATCATCCTCTACTTCGGACCCCTCGAGTCCTTCTTCCCCAGCACCTCAAACGCCATCTCAATCCAGCAACGATATTCATTTGCCCCCTCCACCTCCTCCAGGACACCATGGACCATACAGCACGATGAAGAGGAAAAATGGAATTGCTGACGAATTAGAAGGAAACTTAGCAACCCTCGGAGGTCGGCCCAGATCTGTTGGAAATCTACCAGAAGGTTTACAAGGGGCCAGAAGGAAGAGAAGTCCTGAAGTAATGACTATTGTCGTCAGTCACGTATACAAGAGAGAAGCAGGACAAGAAATGACTGACGTGAATACAAGCAGGACGATTCAAGTAGTCGCACCAGGAGACGTAAACTTTGCTTTGAATGCCGCTTCAAGTAACGAAACCGTTGTGATCCAATCGGCATCTTCGGCGGATCCAGAAACAATTTGTATGTCAGTTCCTAGCTTCGTAGCCGGTCTGGTTATGCTGTTGTTAGTCCTGATAGTGGCTAGTTTAGTGGCAGCTTTCTTATTTGTTCGAGTACGCGCCATCGATAGGAAGGGCGTCGCATCGGCATTTGTTGGTGCCCATCATGGATACGACAATTCGGAATT